TGTGCTGGCCATGATTAGAGCTTCTACACGCCATGAATCAGGGATGTCTGTGTGTAGTGTTCAGGTACAATATTCCACACCTCACACCACCACTACCCCCCCCCACACCCACCACCCCTACCCTCCCCACACCCACCTCCCCACACCTCCACCACCTCCACCACCTCCCCACACCTCCACTACCCCCCCCACACCTCCACCACCCCTCCCCCACACCCCACAACCCCACCTCCACAACCCCCTCCACACCCACCACCCTCACCCCACACACCACCACCTACCTTCCACACCACACCACCACCACCCCCTCCCCCACACCTCCACTACCCCCCCCACACCTCCACTACCCCCACACCTCCACTACCTCCCCTACCCCCACACCACCACTACCCCTTCCCCCACACACCTCACTCTCCCACACTTCCACTCACCCCCACACCACACCACTACCCCCACACTCACCCCCCACACCACCACTACCCTTCCCCAACACCTCCCACTACCCCCACCCCACACCACCACCACTCCCCAACACCTCCACACTCACCCCCCCCCACACCTCCACTACCCTCCCCCCACACCCCACTCACCCTCCCCACACCACCACCCCCCCAACCTCACACCACCCTTCCCACACCCACCACTACCCCCACACCACCACTCACCCCTCCCCATACCTCACACCACCACTACCCCCCCCACACCTCCACCACCCTCCCCACACCACCACTACCCCTCCCCACACCACCAGTACCCCACCCCCACACCTCCACTACCCTCCCCACACCACCACTACCCCTCCCCACACCTCATACCACCCCTCCCCACACCACCACTACCCCCTCCCCACACACCACCACTACACCCCCACACCTCACACCTCACCACTACCCCCACACCACCACTACCTCCTCCCACACCTCCACTACCCCCCATACCTCACACCACTACTACCCCCCACACCTCCACACCCTCCCCCACACCACCACTCACCCCTCCCCCACACCACCAGTACCCCTCCCCCACACCTCACACACCACCACTCACCCCACACCTCACACCACCCTTCCCACACCACCACTACCCCCCCACACCACCACCACCCCTCCCCATACCCCACCACCCACTCCCCCACACCTCCTCCACTACCCCTCCCACACCACCACACTAACCCTCCCCCCACACCACCAGTACCTCCCTACACCTCCACTACTCCCTCCCACACCTCACACCACCACTACCCCACACCCACTCACCCCTCCCCACCACTCACCCCTCCCACACCACCACTACCCTCCACCATACCTCACACCACCCCTACCCCTCCCCACACCACCACTACCCCCCCCACACCCCCACTCACCCTCCCCCACACACCACCACCACCCCTCCTCCCCACACCACCAGTACCCCTCTCCCACACCTCCACTACCTCCCCACACCTCACACCACCATACCTCTCCCCCCCTCCCCCATACCTCATACCACCACTACCCCTCCTCACACCACCACCACTACCCCTCCCCCACACCTCCACACCTCCCCTACCTCCCCACACCTCCGCTACCCTCCCCACACCTCACACCACCACTACCTCCCCACACCTCCACTACCCCTCCCCACACCACCCACTACCCCTCCCACACCTCCACCACCTACCCCACACCACACTCACCCCTCCTCCACACCTCACACCCACCTCTCCCCACACCACCACTACCCCTCCCCCACACCTCATACCACCCCTCCCACACCTCACACCACCACTACCCCTCCCCACACCTCCACTACCCCTCCCCACACCACCACCACTGCCCCTCCCACACCACCACTACCCTCCCCCACACCACCAGTACCCTCCCCACACCACCACTACCCTCCCCACACCTCACACCACCTCCCCACATCACCACTACCCTCCCCACACCTCATACCACCCCTCCCACACCTCACACCATCAGTACCCCTCCCCACACCTCCACTACCCCTCCCACCTCACACCACCACTTCCCTCTCCCCATACCTCATACCACACCACTACCCCTCCCCACACCACCACTACCCCTCCCCCACACCTCCACTACCCCCCTCCCCCACACCTCCACCCCTCCCCCACACCACACCACCACTACCCCTCCCCACACCAACCACCCTCTCCCACACCCCCACACCACTCCTTCCCACACCACACTACCCCTACCCCACACCAATACCACCCTCCCACACCACCAGTACCCTCCCCACACCTCCACTACCCTCCCCCACACCTCACACCACCACTACCCCTCCTCACACCACCACTACCCCTCCCCCACACCTCCACTACCCTCCCCCAAACCTCCGCTACCCCTCCCCACACCTCACATCACCACTACCTCCTCACACCTCCACTACCTCCCCACACCACCAGTCACCCTCCCCCACACCACCAGTACCCTCCCCACACCACCAGTCACCCCTCCCCCACACCACCACTACCTCTCCCCACCTCACACCACCACTACCCCCCACACCACCACTCACCCTTCCCCACCTCAGTACCCTCCCCTCAACCACCAGTACCCCCACACCACCAGTACCTCCCACACCACACCACTACCTCTCCCCACCTCATACCACCACTACCCCTCCCCACACCACCAGTACCCTCCCCACACCTCACACCCTCCCCACACCACACCACCCCTCCCCACCTCCACTCCCTCCCTACACCTCACTCACCACTCACTCCCTCCCCACACCACCACTACTCCCTCCCCACACCACCACTATCCCTTCCCACACCTCACAACATGGTTCTTGTTCAACACCCTGAGATGCTACTCACATGACAGGGTGTCTTTGTAAGCCTTGCTAAGCTCTCTTCCATAATGGGTGGTCAAGTTGATGCTTCCCCGGACTCCACTCTTCTTTATGTTGCTTGTCCGTGTACGTGAATGACTGATGGTTGTTTGTGTACGTGGATGACTGATGGTTGCTCTGTGCGGGATGACTGATGGTTGTTTGTGTACGTGGATGATTGATGGTTGTTTGTGTACGTGGATGATCAGGTTGCTTGTGTACGTGCTGACTGATGGTTGTTTGTGTACGTGGATGATTGATGTTGTTTGTGTACGTGGATGACTTTGTTGTCTGTGTACGTGGATGACTGGTGGTTGGTACGTGGATGATTTTCTTGTTGTCTGTGTACGTGGATGACCAGTGGTTGTCTGTACGTGGGTGATTGGTTGTGTGTGTACGTGATGACTGATGGTTGTTTGTGTACGTGGATGATTGATGGTTGTTTGTGTACGTGGATGACTTTCGTTGTCTGTGTACGTGGATGACTGTTGTTTGTACGTGGATGATTTTCTGTTGTCTGTGTACGTGGATGACCAGTGGTTGTCTGTACGTGGGTGATTGGTTGTGTGTACGTGGATGACTGATGGTTGCTTGTGTACGTGGATGACTGGTGGTTTTTGTGTACGTGATGGCTGGTGGTTCTGCGTACGTGGATGACTGATGGTTGTCTATGTACGTGGATGACTGACGGTTGTCTATGTACGTGGATGACTGATGGTTGTCTATGTACGTGATGACTGATTGTTGTCTATGTACGGATGACTGATGGTTGTCTATGTACGTGGATGACTGATGGTTGTCTATGTACGTGGATGACAAGTGGTTGTCTGTACGTGGGTGATGGTTGTCTGTGTACGTGGATGACTGATGGTTGCTTGTGTACGTGGATGACTGGTGGTTTTTGTGTACGTGGATGGCTGGTGGTTTCTATGTACGTGGATGACTGATGGTTGCCTGTGTACGGATGACTGATGGTTGTTTGTGTACGTGGATGATTGATGGTTGTTTGTGTACGTGGATGACTTTCTTGTTGTCTGTGTACGTGGATGACTGGTGGTGTTTGTACGTGGATGATTTTCTTGTTGTCTGTGTACGGATGCGTGGTTGTCTGTACGTGGGTGATTGGTTGTGTGTGTGAGTGGATGACTGATGGTGCTTGTGTACGTGGATGACTGGTGGTTTTTGTGTACGTGGATGGCTGGTGGTTCTCTATGTACGTGGATGACTGATGGTTGCTATGTACGTGGATGACTGACGGTTGTCTATGTACGTGATGACTGATGGTTGTCTATGTACGTATGACTGATGGTTGTCTATGTACGTGGATGACCAGTGGTTGTCTGTACGTGGGTGATTGGTTGTCTGTGTGACGTGGATGACTGATGGTTGCTTGTGTACGTGGATGACTGGTGGTTTTTTGTGTACGTGGATGGCTGGTGGTTCTCTATGTACGTGGATGACTGATGGTTGCTATGTACGTGGATGACTGACGGTTGTCTATGTACGTGGATGACTGATGGTTGTCTATGTACGTGGATGACTGATGGTTGTCTATGTACGTGGATGACCAGTGGTTGTCTGTACGTGGGTGATTGGTTGTCTATGTACGTGGATGACTGATGGTTGTCTATGTACGTGGATGACTGATGGTTGTCTATGTACGTGGATGGCTGGTGGTTGTCTATGTACGTGGATGACTGATGGTTGTCTATGTACGTGGATGACTGATGGTTGTCTATGTACGTGGATGACTGATGGTTGTCTGTGTGCGTGGCAAAGTTAAATTAAAAAGAAATGTCTTTGATCTCTACTCAGTTGAGGTGAATTATTTATCATCAAACGCATGTCATCAATACTCCTAACCTAACCCTAACATAACACAACCAAATATAAACGTCAATTTACATAAGCTAACATATCTAACCAAGCCAATTCCAACCAACCTAACCAAGTCTACCATAACCTAACCTAACCCCCCCAGATAGGGTGTATAATCACAACCCCCTCGAACAGTAGAGAAGGAAGAGTAACGTAACAGAATACAGAAAACTCGTAAAAAGATTTAATACTACCTCAGAACACACATAAAACATACCTCCACGTCACAACACCTGTAATTAAGGGTATATTGTAATAATTAAGGTAAAGTAAAGATAAAATACGCTGATAATAGTTTAATTATATAAAATAATGACTTATATACATTTATACATAAGATGTAAGAAGTTATTAATGAATATGAGAGATATGTACACATATGGGCCCAGGTAATGACAGGTGATTCAGAATTTCAGGTACTAAACACAGGTTATGTTAAGGTCCATCATGTTTCACAGACTGTTGCTCAAGGGACGACCTGAAGCGACAATTCGCGTGATACATCTGTATATACACATACATTATAATATACAAGGAAGCGGCGACTGTAAGGGGAGGTGTGTGGCACTGTTGAGGGCAGTGCCACACGTATTGAGATTGTCTAGTGGTGCCAGGTGGGGCGAGGACCCAGGTAGGGTGTGGCGGGGAGGAGCTATAGAGTACTCCACTGGCAGGGACCGTCACCAGTGAAGATACGCTCGCTCCCCGGCAAGATCCCCACCAGGTAGTCGTCCAGGGCCTGCAGCGCCGGCACCGAATGTCCTACACCACGGAAGGCGATGGTGGCGTCCCTGCCGGCGTGTTCCATCATTACTTCTTCGCCACCCGGGTGCTCTAGCAGGAACCTCGTTACATCGAACACCTGTCATGGATAACGATACAGTAATGTTAACATGAAAAAAAATTAAAATTTGTCTTATACAGTAAATCATTTTTTGTTTTGTCACGGACCACCTGAAGACTAGGCACCCCAGCTTATTTCTCACGAATATTAACCACCCTAACACTACCTGTGAAGAGGGGAGGGGGTTAAGTTAGATTAACCTTAAGGTAGTTAATCACCAGGTAAAGTAAGCTGGGGTGATTAATGTTCAAGTGGTCGCACAAGAAGGATGAGAAGGGTTAACACTCACCTTATCGTAGAGGATAATCCAACAGTCTTCAAATGTGTCGTGTTCAGAGACCTCACTCAGTGTATACACCTGGAGGCCGGACTCTTCGTCTTTCTGCCGGTCGCTACACTGTGTGGTGGTGGTGGCGCAGGGGTCACGGTAGCCGAGACTCTGGGCAGCAAAGTTGAGGAGGGCCTTAGGCTGCAGCACGTAGAGGGACATACCGCTGTAACTCTCCTTCATCTTGATCCTGTAACGTGACGTGAGGAGACGGTAACGAGCTCTTAACACTACTGCACTATGTACTCACTCATCAGTCTCCAAGGTATTCACTATGTACTCAAGAGTCCCCGTGACACACACACACTCAGACACAGGAACAGTAGTAAACTAACAAACAACAGAGGCAGGCTGTGTTGACGTCGGCCAGCAGACCCTGTTGTTGGGAGGGAAAATTCCCCAGTAAGTGGTCGACCTCGTCTTTTGTCCCCGAGCTGTTTTGCTTAATCTAGTGGCATCTGAGTTTCCCCCCACCTGTGTACTACAGTACACTTACGGGATCATCTTAACTCCACCTGAAGATTAACCACCTTAAACTTAACCTAACCCCCACAAGGTACACCGTCAAGGTGTTTAATCATCAGGTGGGGGTAGTGTTTAGGTGATGCCACTCTTAAGGTGTCACAGAAACACAGTCAAGGGTGTTTTGTGGCCATCATCGGGGGAGACATCCATGGAACTTTCCGATCCCTTCTTCCTGCGGCCATCTTGTACACACTCTGTATTTACATCCACACATATACATCTACACACTTATACCCACGCACTTATACCTACACTCTTACACGTACACACATAAGCACACTTAGACCTACGGTCACTACCGCCACCAAGCATCCAAAACAGACTATAAGAAAAATCAACATTTCTCATAACTAATAACCCCACACATAAAAGCTTTCAAGTAAGGCTCACACTAACTCAAGTGTAAGTAAGGCTCACACTAACTCAAGGGTAAGTAAGGCTCACACTAACTCAAGGGTAAGGCTCACACTAACTCAAGGGTAAGGCTCACACTAACTCAAGGGTAAGTAAGGCTCACACTAACTCAAGGGTAAGTAAGGCTCACACTAACTCAAGGGTAAGTAAGGCTCACACTATCTCAAGAGTGAGTAAGGCTCACACTATCTCAAGAGTGAGTAAGGTTCACACTATCTCAAGAGTAAGTAAGGCTCACACTATCTCAAGGGTAAGTAAGGCTCACACTATCTCAAGAGCAAGTAAGGCTCACACTAACTCAAAAGCAGGTAAGGCTCACACTAACTCAAAAGCTGGTAAGGCTCACACTATCTCAAGAGTAAGTAAGGCTCACACTATCTCAAGAGTAAGTAAGGCTCACACTATCTCAAGGGTAAGTAAGGCTCACACTATCTCAAGAGTAAGTAAGGCTCACACTATCTCAAGAGTAAGTAAGGCTCACACTATCTCAAGAGTAAGTAAGGCTCACACTAACTAAAGAGACAGATAATAACAAAGATTCTTACCTTAGGTTTGTGAAAGCTTCGACGTATTCAGAAAGTATGAGGCGTGTTGTAGGCGTAGGGCTGACAGATGTTCACTTCACCCTGGCTGCTGTCACACTGTTGCATTGACACAGTGATCGCCGCCTTAAATACTGGCGCAGAATTACAACATTCTCAGGCTCGGGTTGCTGGAGTCGTACGCACTCACTCTCTCTACCCTCTCCCTCACTACACCTGCTTCTCTCTACATCTTTTTCTCTACACTCAGACAATAATCACGGGAGAGAGACTTGTCCGGCATAAAACTCTCCGTGTTAGTTCCATCAAATTTAGCGTAAAAAAGTGACATAACCCGGCAGTGTTTACCTGTTGGCAACACTCCACGTGAGACTGCATCTGACCGACAGTTGAATGAGCGCCCCCCGAGTCCTCACCAATGGCAGGCGAGATAGGAGGGGTGTGGCAAGCTTCTGATTGGTCCGTTGACTATCGTACCATAGAAAACTAAGGAACTGACGAAAGTAGTGGAGGTCATCAGGGATATGCGTAGTGAAGTTGACGCCGTTGTAAACAGTTCCGAGGAATGTAATACTGTAGAAGGTCAGACCCACTGCAGTGATCTCTCTACCCCACCCCCAGCCTCCCCACCCCAACCCCAGCCTCCCCACCCACCCCACCCCCTCCCCCAACACCGCGACTGACCGACACACTCAGACGCTCTCCCCACACCCTCATCTCCCGTGAGAGGATCATAACACAACATTGTGGAGTTGCATCATGTTTTGCGGTGAACAGAAATGACCGTTGACCCCCAGCACACACAGGGATGTTGACAGTATCTATTAAGGAGTTGGTAGTGAAGGCTGTGTCGTCAGCTACGGTTACTGCGTCACAATGACGTAGTTAGTCTCTTCCTGTTGGGTGATACACGTCCAGTGATCATGGAAGGTCTTCCGCTGAACGGTGTATCTGAGATGTAAGATGGTTGAGGCCGATATCCTACTGATATAGAAAGTTTATTGAGCCAGAAAAATACAGATACATAAGAACATAAGAATGGAGGAAACTGCAGCGGGCCTATTGTACAGTCCCGTTTACACCCAACCCCAATACCCACCCAACCTGCTGTATATTGGAATATTAACATAACATTTAGTATCATCTGGATTACTACATGTAACAAAGCTGTTATGGCCATGTTAACTTCTTCAAGGCGAACTTCTGTAAATACGGACACCACAGTCCTATGTAGACACCAAGTACAGTACGAGATGGAGTAGATATCTGGATCACCTAAAGATTAGCACTCCTCCTCTAGCGCTACCTGCTGGGTTAGCTTAGGTGGTATTAGGTTATGTTAGGGTTAGGTTAAGTTTGTTTAAGGTTAGTTTGAGTTAGCGCTAGGGTGCTTAATCTTCAGGTGAGTCGAAAATGAGTGGTACAACTTTCTCTGAGGGCTGCTTCTGCTTGATGGTCTGCTGCCCTCCTGAAGAACGTCAACAAGAAAATACCTGTGTAATTAGCGTCAGGGATACATAAAACGAGAGAGAGTACTAGTTCAACTTCTCGTAGTCTGGTCAATGGTGTCCTAAATGCGCATGCTGTCTGACGCAATATTTACACGCGATTGAGGGAGAAAGAAAGATAGGGAGAGAGAGAATAAATAAAAAGAGAAAGAAGAAGAGAGATAAATAAATACAGAGAAAGGAAGTGAAAAAGAGAAAAGGAAATAGAAAGAGAGAGAGAGAGAAAGGGAGAGAAAGAAAAAATCGACAAAGAAATAAATAAAGAAATAGATAAAGGAAAAATAGATAGAAAGAAAGAGAGCGACAAAGAAATAAAGAATGAGATAGAGAGAGAGTTTGTTCACCTTGTCTAACCACTTCATATGCGCACTCTGTCTGACGCAACATCTCTACGGACTTAGGCTAACCAGAGCGACGCACTCCCGACCTTAAACGCAGCAGTAGAAAATCTCACATCCTATCATTCGCATTTCCTTGGTCTTCCTGGCATCTATTTCACACCCTCTCACTGGCACTGAGTAAAGTTTGAGATTAATAATGAGAAGTAAAGCAAAAGTAAGAATAATGATGTAAATAAATAGACAGGATTAATGATAAACTTTCTTCACTCTTGTTCCAATCACGTGACAAAAGACAATCTGTTTGTAATTTTAACTCTGATAGTTATTAATTTTCACTGTAGGTTTAGTCACCATTTGAAAACACTAACACAGGTGACATGACAACACTCAACACAGGTGACATGACAACACTCAACACAGGTGACATGACAACACTCAACACAGGTGACATGACAACACTCAACACAGGTGACACGACAACACTCAACACAAGGGACATGACAACACTCAACACAGGTGGTGACACGACAACACTCAACACAGGTGACATGACAACACTCAACACAGGTGACATGACAACACTAACACAGGTGACATGACAACACTAACACAGGTGACACGACAACACTCAACACAGGTGACATGACAACACTCAACACAGTTGACATGACAACACTCAACACAGGTGACATGACAACACTCAACACAGGTGACACGACAACACTCAACACAGGTGACATGACAACACTCAACACAGGTGACATGACAACACTAACACAGGTGACATGACAACACTAACACAGGTGACATGACAACACTCAACACAGGTGACATGACAACACTCAACAGAGTATACAGTAGGAAGGGGAAAATATACAAGTGTTTTTGTATAAAACTATTAATACAAAGTTATCACTAAACACATGTTCAGTACATATACGGCCGTTACCACTAATAAACAGTTATCAATCATAAAAAGTAATAAAATTAGTACAAGGATGATAATTACCAGTGAGCTGCACTGATACTGTGGCAGGTGTAGTCCCACAGTATGTTCACAGTATCGGCAAGGGAGAACGACACGGGAACCAGGGTTAAGGAATATCTAATCCAAGGTCTATAGAAGAGGAGGTCATCCCGTACCTGACCCAAAATACGACCCGGTTCGCGCATGACGTCAGGGGGTAGAGCTCCACAGTTGGCTGCCGATACAACTGAAAACTGGTGTCTTCTGTCACATAATGCCCGCTAATTGTGCAGTGTTTGGGTGTAAGTCTTCGTTCAAACGAGAGAGGAATAATACACATCCATATATTTCCTACAGATGACCAACTATGATACAGTCGATTAACCTCTTCAAGAGAAAGACAACATTAATACTGCTAATGCTCGGTGGGCCTTGAACAACGCTGCCTGAGGCTGACAGAATCTGCAGTCCATTGTAAAGGTAGTTTGATAACTGTTGAATATGAATTTCATTTATTTTACATAATTTTACAATACATTTAGCACCAGAGATTCCGTAAATAATGACAAAGGCAAATAAATCTCTGCGCCCTAGTAGTGTTGTCTAATGAATTGACAATTCTGTCAGTCTCTGGCAATGAGTTTTCAGGGCACTCCTTCCTCTCCTCTACTCCCACTCCCTCTCCTCTACTCCCACTCCCTCTCCTCTACTCCCACTCCCTCTCTTCTACTCCCACTCCCTCTCCTCTTCTCACCACATCCTCTCCCCCTCTCTCTGCTTTCTCTAAGAATATAAGAATGGAAGAAACTGCAGCGGGTTTATTGGCCCATACTAGGCCGGGGGCCCCGTTTACACCCAACCCCTATCGCTCACTCGTCATAACTCCTGTAATCTCACGTCTACATTATTAATATAATGAAAACAACAGGGGGAAAGAATCTCCTGTAGACAACTGTACATATAGTTATAACTCTCTCTATTCATCTGTGCCCTATCTGTTATAGGAACAAGTCAACGGCTATCATCAGAGACACATGTACTGAGAGGAGGCCAAAAGAGGGTTGTGCATTAAACTGAGTCTACAGTACCTGGCCACCTGATGTACTGCCAGAGAAAGAACCTGAGGAAGAGAGACCAGTTCTGATCACTGAGGGCCTCGGTGATGTCCAGTGTAACTCTAATGAGAGGGTGTTCGTGAATTACATCAATAATCATAATATCACTGTATACGACACAGACAAAGTGACACATCTGATGGGGGGCAGACTTGATTATGTGATTGGGTATAACCTAGTAGACAGTAATGTCAAGGCTAAGGTCATCTCAGACCACCTAGTCAGTGATCATTATGCAATACTTACTGAATACACTGTTGCTGATGTCAAGTGTGAACCCCATCCTAAGCTCAGAATTAATATCCCAGATAATCTTAAACTGCACTTCAAGGCCTACATCCACAGATGGTATGCTGGATATACACCTGGGTCAGTGGATGAATTTTGCTGTGATCTTGTAAATGTCATTACCACATATTATACCACCTGGGTTAAGTCAAGGAGGAAGGGGGGCAGCACTAAACCACCTCTGTGGACACATGACCCCATCCTCACCAAAGAAGGAGAGAATGTAAAACAGCTTGCCAACACTTATAAGCAAAATAAAACTAGTGATAACCTTTTGGCATTCCTCAAACCTAACAGAGAATTTCGTGAACTCAAAGGTCAGGTGAGAAACACCTATTGGAAACAATTCTTACAGGGAATTAATAGAACAACCACTCTAGCAGAAATGTGGAAAAAAAATTAGAGCCATTACCAAGTCACCCACCCCAGTTCAGCTTCATCACAGCCCTGCAGAATATGCTGACATGCTATTAGACCAATGGTCTAGTGTGTCACGAATCACTTCCCTGCCTCCTGACATACAACAATATCTTAACACCTCACACATTAATAGGGGTTTCAATCGTTCTGTAGTTGACTATCATGCTCTCCATCTTGTGACTATTCCGCCTAAACAACTCAACAGCCTTGAGGTAGTGCAAAATGAAGCCATGCGCATCATCCTAGGTTGCCCAAAATCAACCAGAATTGTAAACATGAGGAAAGAGCTTGGACTGCCCTCCCTATCTGAGAGGATAGCTCTACTTAATACCATGTTTTGTGTCAAAGTTTTAAAGAACAATGGTTCTCAAACTACAACTCAAACTGAGTTGATGTTCTATCTAAGTAATCCCGACCATCTCGCCAACCTTCCACAAAAGACTCTTTCTGGGGCGTGGCTTCATAAAAGTGTTGCAGATCTCCTGAAACTGAATGTCCCAATCACCCCAGACGAACCTATTAATGCCATTCCTCCTTGGCTGAACATATCAGTTCCTATTAATTACACTCCTGTTGGTAGTAAGCAAATGTTAAACACCGATGTGGTGAGATGTGTTACACTAGAAACTATTAACAGACACATAAAGAGTATTAAATCAAGTGAATGTTATGCTTTTACTGATGGTTCTGTGCAGACAAACACAGGTAGAACAGGCTGTGCAATTGTAATATATAAAGAAAAAGAGATGATAGTGTCAAACAAACAAAGGCTGAACAACTGGGCCAGCACAACACAAACTGAACTAACTGGAATCTACTTAGCCACAGACTACCTCAAAGAAAATGGAGGTGGGGTGATATTCTGTGACTCTCAAAGTGCTTTGAAATCAATGAACAGCCCGTCAGGCTCTATGTCTAAAGTTGCATGTGATATTAAAAGGAATGTGATAACTGCCAATGAGAACAACTTTCGTATCGAATTTGTGTGGATTCCGTCCCATGTTGGAATCAGGTATCATGACCGTGCTGATAGACTGGCCAATGAGGCATGTAAGAAAGAAAATGTTGACCGTGACCTTGGTCTGTCCAATGCTGTAATTAAAATAATTCAAGTCAGAATCATGAACTCTGATCTAGAAGTGAGAAATGCAGAGACCTGACAGTTGTAGCATTAGTAAATATGACAAATTTTGTAACAAGAGGTACCGGTATGGCCAGCATAAGGACAGAACCAGACAATGTGATGTAGTCGTGGCCAGAATTAGGCTAGGATACAGACACATCTGGCAAGTTAGTAACGCTGTACCCATACCGGAACACTCAGCATGTAAACTTTGTGATAAACCTTTAAAGCATACACTTGAACACTATATTATTGAATGTGACACTGTCAAAGACTTCAGGCCACCTGACTTATTGTATCTTGAACTATGTAATTACTTCATTGAATCAGGTGTGCTTGAGGACATTCTTGCTGTTTATCCCAAATTTGCTAGCCCACACTGATTAGTCTTCAATTAGAATATGACTCCAATGCATGTGATCCAATGACCTACATATGCTGCTGGTGTATGTGATGTATTTCCTTATTTGTGTACGAACCTCTGTCCTGCGTGGCAGTGAACAGTGGCATTACCCACATGAATTTGACCTATATATAGTGTCAATGAATATGATGCATTCTTTGTGTACGAACCTCTGTCCTGTATGGCAGTGGAAAGTGACATTACCCACATGAATCTGACCGACGTATATGTATGTATGTGTGCGTGTGTGCATGTATATGTACATGTACATGTATATGTGTATGTATATACGTATATGTATGTATATGTGTGTGTGTGTGTTTACATATATGTATATGTACTGTCAATGAATATGATGCAACTCTTTGTGTACGAACCTCTGTCCTGCATGGCAGTGAACAGTGACATTACCCATATGAATCTGACCTATATGCATTTATAGTTGTTAATGAATATGATGTATTTCCTTGTGTGTGAACCTCTGTCCTGCGTGACAGCGAGAAGTGATACCACCCTCAGTGTCAAGACCTGACTGAATTACTCAGAATAGGCAAACTGTACTACAAGCTCTGCCAATAAATTTGTTAAACTAAAAACTGAGGAACTACAACGTTAACTGGATGGTTAAGGAGGGAGAGAGATGCTCTTCTTTGTGAAACAAAGAAGAACGGGAGGAGAGGATCTAGAAAATGTTGTTATTAAGGCTGCTGCTATTATTAAAGATATTCTTAGTAGCTATTTTTTTCTCTTCTCGAGTGAATTTTTACTTGTCAGTTATCCCTGTAATACACTGGTCTGAAGAGGATATCACTGACCATTCGCAGCTTAAGCCTGAAAGCTTATCGCCACTTCTGTAATACAAGTAAATTTTCTTTCCCGTTATCAGTACACTGTGTGACTGTATCGTTAGATTTCTAAGCTCAATATGAACCAAGGGGTGTTGAATGTAGTTCTGCACCTGTTGTACCACAGGTGTAGGAGAGGAGAGCTGTGGTGGAGGAAGGGTGAGAGGGAGAAGGGGTGTGGTGGGGGAGGTGGGGTGTTCGCAGCTTAAGCCTGAAAGCTTATCGCCACTTCTGTAATACAAGTAAATTTTCTTTCCCGTTATCAGTACACTGTGTGACTGTATCGTTAGATTTCTAAGCTCAATATGAACCAAGGGGTGTTGAATGTAGTTCTGCACCTGTTGTACCACAGGTGTAGGAGAGGAGAGCTGTGGTGGAGGAAGGGTGAGAGGGAGAAGGTGTGGTGGGGAGGTGGGGTGTGGGGAGGAGGGGTGTGAGGGAGGAGGGGTGTGAGGGAGAAGTGTGGTGGGGAGGTGGGGTGTGAGGAGGAGGGGGTGGAGGAGGGAGAGGGTGGAGGAGGGGTGTGTGGGGAGGTAGGGGTGGGTGGGGGAGGAGGGAGAGAGGGGGAGGAGGAGGGGAGGGTGTGTGGTGTGAGGGGAGGGGTGGTGGTGGGGGAGGAGGGGTGTGGAGGGGGAGGAGGGGTGTGTGGAGGGGAGAAGGGGTGTGGGGAGGAGGGTGTGAGGGGAGAGGGGGTGGTGGGGGAGGAGGGGGGTGTGGGGAGGGAGTGGTGGAGGGGAGGAAGGGGTGGTGTGGGGGAGGGAGGGGTGTGAGGGAGGAGGGGTGAGGGGAGAAGGGGTGTGGGGGGGAGGAGGGGTGTGGGGGGGGAGGAGGGGGTGTGGGGAGAAGGGGTGTGGTGGGGAGGGAGGGGTGTGAGGAGGGGAGGAGGAGGGGAGGTGAGGGAGGAGGTGGGAGGGAGAGGTGGTGGGGGAGGGGTGTGGAGGGAGGGGGTGGGGAGGAGGAGGTGTGAGAGGAGGGGGTGTGTGGAGGAGGGAGAGGGTGTGAGGGAGAGGGGTGTGTTGGAGGAGGGTGTGGAGGGAGGGGTGTGAGGGAGAGGTGTGTGTGAGGGGAGAGGGGGAGGTGTGGAGGGAGGAGGGGTGTGGTGGGGAGGAGGGTGGAGGGAGGAGGGGTGAGGGGAGGAGGGGTGGTGGGGAGGGAGTGGGGAGGGGGGGTGTGATGGGGAGGGGTGTGGGGGGAGGAGGTGTGGTGGAGGGAGGTGTGACACAAGGAGGGGTGTGGTGGAGGAGGGCCTTTCTGACACTAAACACAAGGAAAGAATTAAGGGGATGAGGGTGTAGGGGGGGGGGAAGAGTGGGAGGTTGTTTATTCAATAAAGCGGAGTGGGAAAGGGGAGAAGGGGGGACACAAGCACTCACTCACCCCGCTCTCACTCGGTTGAAGGTCTTACGCACACAGCCACCTCACTCACTAGAAGTCTGTGGACGTAACTCCTCATGCACAGGACAGTGTCTTTCCCCCACCCGCCATCTATTGTGCACCTCCCTTAGTGTAGTGCACAGTGTGTAAAGAAATGGAAGAAGAAAAATGCTTAGTGATCGGTGCCTAATAACTCATAGTTGTTCAAGTACTTAAAAGGAAGATCTATAGTGAACTGTGCTTAATGACTCATAGTAGCTGAACCACCCTAAACAGCAACAACAACAATGAACATGATCAACTATACCGTGGTATAAACAAGTGAGCTAAGGTAATTGGGGATTTCCTGAGTCATAATTTGGAGCGTCACCGCACACACACACAAGATGGGGTTTACCAGGTGTTACATCGTTAAGCAAGAATTTTCCTGAAACACTACAAGATAAACGGTCACGACAGCGACCAAACAACTTGTGGGAAAATTAATGAACAATTTGAGGAATATTTCTTCTGTTGTTCTGTATATATTCTTCTGATATAATATACTGAGTTTTAATACCAGATAGAGAAACCAGATATCAGATGAACAAAGATGTTAGAGAAATCCGACTGTGAGAAAGATTTAGGAGTAATGATAAGTAGGAATCTTAAGCCAAGTAAACAATGTGTATTTGGTCGAAACAAAGCTAATAAAGTACTTGGGTTCATACTATAACCGCCAATTAGGCGGTTAAAGGATAATCAGACTTGTCACGTTAAACTCGAATGTTATAATTCGGTCTAACCTGTTGAATACAATTCATTTTTGTATTTCAACTAAATCATACATGACAATCATAACTATGTAATTAGTCTAATCTTAATACTTACAATGAGTACTTAATTTGCCATATTTTATGTTTTCACAATGATAAACGATGCAATGGACACAGTCTACCTGCGTACACAATAAGTACCAGTTAAACTTACGTGTTTAAAGTCTCAAGAGAAACCAGGTTAGGTGCTGCCTCTGTGGTCTGAATAACTACAGAGAAACCAGGTTAGGTGCTGCCTCTGTGGTCTGAATAACTACAGAGAAACAAGGTTAGGTGCTGCCTCTGTGGTCTGAATAACTACAGAGAAACCAGGTTAGGTGTTCCCTCTGTGGTCTGAATAACTACAGAGAAACAAGGTTAGGTGTTGCCTCTGTGGTCTGAATAACTACAGAAAAACAAGGTTAGGTGTTGCCTCTGTGGTCTGGATAACTACAGAGAAACAAGGTTAGGTGCTGCCTCTGTGGTCTGAATAACTACAGAGAAACAAGGTTAGGTGCTGCCTCTGTGGTCTGAATAACTACAGAGAAACAAGGTTAGGTGTTGCCTCTGTGGTCTGAATAACTACAGAGAAACAAGGTTAGGTGCTGCCTCTGTGGTCTGAATAACTACAGAGAAACAAGGCTAGGTGCTGCCTCTGTGGTCTGAATAACTACAGAGAAACAAGGTTAGGTGTTGCCTCTGTGGTCTGAATAACTACAGAGAAACCAGGTTAGATGCTGCCTCTGTAGTCTGAATAACTACAGAAAAACAGGTTAGGTGCTGCCTCTGGTCTGAATAACTACAGAAAAACCAGGTTAGGTGCTGCCTCTGGTCTGAATAACTACAGAAAAAACCAGGTTAGGTGTTGCCTCTGTGGTCTGAATAACTACAGAGAATCCAGGTTAGGTGCTGCCTCTGTGGTCTGAATAACTACAGAAAAACCAGGTTAGGTGCTGCCTCTGGTCTGAATAACTACAGAGGAACCAGGTTAGGTGCTGCCTCTGGTCTGAATAACTACAGAAAAACCAGGTTAGGTGTTGCCTCTGTGGTCTGAACTTCCTGAGAAACAAGGTTAGGTGCTGCCTCTGTGGTCTGAATAACTACAGAGAAACAAGGTTAGGTGCTGCCTCTGTGGACTGAATAACTACAGAGGGAACAAGGTGTTGCCTCTGTGGTCTGAATAACTACAGAGAAACCAGGTTAAGTGCTGCCTCTGTGGTCTGAATAACTACAAGAATAAACAGAGAAACAAGGTTAGGTGCTGCCTCTGGTCAAGAACTACTGGAAGAAACAAGGTTAGGGTTGCCTCTGTGGTCTGTTGTGCTGCCTGAATAACTACAGAGAAACAAGGTTAGGTGTTGCCTCTGTGGTCTGAATAACTACAGAGAAACAAGGTTAGGTGCTGCCTCTGTGGTCTGAATAACTACAGAGAAACCAGGTTAGGTGCTGCCTCTGTGGTCTGAATAACTACAGAAAAACCAGGTTAGGTGCTGCCTCTGGTCTGAATAACTACAGAGAAACAAGGTTAGGTGCTGCCTCTGGTCTGAATAACTACAGAAAAAACCAGGTTAGTGTTGCCTCTGTGGTCTGAATAACCTGAAAACTGTGGTCTGAATAACTACAGAGAAACAAGGTTAGAGTGCTGCCTCTGTGGTCTGAATAACTGGAGGAACAAAGGTTTAGTGTTGCCTCTGTGGTCTGAATAACAAACCAGGTTAGGTCTGCCTCTGTGGTCTGAACAACTCTAAGAAAAACCAGGTTAGGTGCTGCCTCTGGTCCCAGATAACTACAGAGAAACAAGGTTAGGTGCTGCCTCTGTGGTCTGAATAACTACAGAGAAACAAGGTTAGGTGCTGCCTCTGTGGTCTGAATAACTACAGAGAAACAAGGTTAGGTGTTGCCTCTGTGGTCTGAATAACTACAGAGAAACCAGGTTAGGTGCTGCCTCTGGTCTGAATAACTTCAGAAAAACCAGGTTAGGTGCTGCCTCTGGTCTGAATAACTACAGAGAAACCAGGTTAGGTGCTGCCTCTGTGGTCTGAATAACTACAGAAAAACCAGGTTAGGTGCTGCCTCTGTGGTCTGAATAACTACAGAGAAACCAGGTTAGGTGTTCCCTCTGTGGTCTGAATAACTACAGAGAAACAAGGTTAGGTACTGCCTCTGGTCTGAATAACTACAGAGGAACCAGGTTAGGTGCTGCCTCTGGTCTGAATAACTACAGAAAAACCAAGTTAGGTGTTGCCTCTGTGGTCTGAATAACTACAGAGAAACAAGGTTAGGTGCTGCCTCTGTGGTCTGAATAACTACAGAGGAACCAGGTTAGGTGCTGCATCTGGTCTGAATAACTACAGAGAAACCAGATTAGGTGCTGCCTCTGGTCTGAATAACTACAGAGGAACCAGCTTTGGCGTTGCCTCTGTGGTCTGATTAGCTACAGTACCGATACCCTGCTGTCGCCTCCCCAAACCTCTCTCGATGGGCGAGGGCTGAGTCAGGGGATTATACACAAACAAGCTGCCCTTATTGCCACCCAACACCTCACCTCCTCTGGGTTTCTCCTCTTCCACCATCTCAACACTCTATATACTGTATACAGGCAGGCACACTCAATAAACATGACATGACTTACAGCCTAACATAGTGTTTGCTTATGTGTCATCCTACTCATTACTGCTTGCGGTAACACATACAAAGGAGTGTTAGTTACAAGACTAGAGAAGTCATCCTAAAACTATATCTTGCGCTTGTGAGACCTCACTTGTATTAAGCAGTTCAATTCTGGTCACGGTATTAAAGAATGGATATAGAATCCCTAGAAAGAATTCAGAGGAGAACGACAAAACTAATCCCGGGCATTAGGAACCTTGAGTACAGAGACAGGTTAAAGCATCTTAATTTGCACTCCCTCGAGAGACGTAAAGTGAGGGGCGATATGATAGAGGTGTATAAATGGAAGTCAGGACTAAACAAAGGGGACATAACAAAGGTACTCAAACTATCCAACCAGGAGCGAACTCGTAACAATGGTTTTAAAACAGACAAATTTAGATTTAGGCGCAAAATAGGTAAACATTGGTTTGGAAATAGAGTCGTGGATGAGTGGAACAAGTTACCAAACGTCATCATTAACTCGAATACGCTGGATAGCTTCAAACAGGTTGGGTGGATATATGAGCGATAGGGGTTGGGTGTAAATGGGACTGCCCAGTATGGCTCGCTGTAGTTTCCTCTGTTCTTATGTTCTTCTTTTTCTTCTTCTTGTCTTTTTCATTTTCTTTCTCAATTTTTCCTCTATCTTCTATACTTTCTGTTAGATTAGGTTAGGTTAAGTTGAAGGCCACTAAGGCTCCAGCCATTGTTATTATCGTCCCTTCTTTCCTCACACAGCCAAACTGTGGAATGCTCTGCCTTCTTCTGTGTTTCCATTCTCTTACAATGTGTCTCACTTTAAAAAGCTGGTTTCCCGGCATCTTAGTGGTGTAGATTAATACAGTATAACCTTTTTTTCTATATTTACAATTTCTTTCCGTTCTTTCTTTTTCGCCCCCCAGGCTCCGTTGTGGGTCGTTTGACCTGTGCCCGGGTGGGCTAATTCCCGTAAAAAAATATATATATATATAGTTTTTTACACCATTAGCTGTGAATGTACTGACAACACGCAGCTATATATATAAACTAAATGTGTGTGTGTGAGAGGGGCGGTCGTAGTAAACACAAATAGAACTGGGGGTCTATTAGAAGAACTACGCATTATTAAGAGTGGGGCCTATTAAGACTGGACCCCACCACCACCACCACCTACAGTAGATATAGTTATGCCTCGTCACGTGCTTTAGTGTTGGCAACCCCTCCACGGTGACGTCACGGTAGGATTATTTTGCAACATTGAGAATGTTGATTAATGCAGTGTGGCAATAACACATCCCACTAACACACCTTGCAGAGTGTGTGGCTGTAACACATCCCACTGACACACCTTGCAGAGTGTGTGGCTGTAACACATCCCACTGACACACCTTGCAGTGTGTGGCTGTAACACATCCCACTGACACACCTTGCAGAGTGTGGCTGTAACACATCCCACTGACACACCTTGCAGACTGTAACACATCCCACTGACACACCTTGCAGTGTGTGGCTGTGACACCCCTCCACACGTCACCAACATGCTGCAATAACACATCCCACTAACACACCTTGCAGAGTGTGTGGATGTAACACATCCCACTGACACACCTTGCAGAGTGTGTGGCTGTAACACATCCCACTGACACACCTTGCAGAGTGTGTGGCTGTAACACATCCCACTGACACACCTTGCAGAGTGTGTGGCTGTAACACATCCCACTGACACACCTTGCAGTGTGTGGCTGTAACACATCCCACTGACACACCTTGCAGTGTGTGGCTGTAACACATCCCACTGACACACCTTGCAGAGTGTGGCTGTAACACATCCCACTGACACACCTTGCAGTGTGTGGCTGTAACACATCCCACTGACACACACTTGCTGGCTGTAACACACCCACTG